GCACATATTTACTATATAGAACTGCAAGATTGAATCTGCTCCTCTGAGCATTGCTGGGACTGCATTGTATCACATCTGAGTTGGTACTGGCTACATAGCAAAGCAGAAGTCACCACAGTCTTGAAGGGAGGACAGAGTTCGCAAATACATGTGGAGCAACCATTAACATTAAAAGTAGCCATGTCATCCACTGATAGAAACAAAAATTCTGGGCTGTAGGCCCACCTTTATTGGACTACTAAAATTGTGCAAATAAGGTGAGCCTCTGAGTTCTCCAGATTTGTTCATCAAACAAAGGTAGTATAAAACTTGGGGTTCCAGCAGAAAGTCCAAAAATTGGATTAGATATGCCTGTGGCTCATAAAATCATGGCTGTTTTGGATCCCCTGTGCTGCTTTATTCCTCCTCAAAGAAGCATCTAATTCTAATTCCATTTCCAGTGTGAAAGTGAGAGAACTAAAATGCTACACACATTTCCTAAACTCGTAACTTAACCTAAGAATTTGCAATTAAATACGGCAGGGTATGAGCCTTCAAAACCAGGCTCTGAGAATTAATTTCAGAGAGGACTCTGATCTGTCCCTTGGTTTGATCTCAAGTTCCCAGACTGCACCAGCCAGAAAGCAGCATACAGACTTTGCTGTGTGATCAACATGAAGGACAGATGTAGTGCCACTGTTTAATTGCTGGCACAGATGGCTAGTTTCTGCAGGAGAAATGGTTCTCAAAATGTTACTCAGCATTGCTGCTGGCCTACCAAATTTTGGGCAGGCAAAATGCCATCTATTGAGATGTCTGTGGGGGCAGGCAGCCAAATGACTATCAGCTGTGATTATGAATAGTTAAGAACAAAAAACAAAGGCCTCTGCAGCTATACAGGGTATTTTGGCACTCTTAACATCACCTTAGTGAGTAGCATCTTAATAAAGTCTAGGCACAAGTTTGGGATTGTTTGTGCCAGGACACAGTTTGCTGTTGGGATACAAGATCTGTACTCAATTCAGAAGAAGGCTATATTCATCTGGAGCAACGAAAAGACAGATTGCCATGGACCTTGAAAGATGAACTGGGCTATTTTGGCAGGGTCTTTAACAGTCTCCATTAGTAGGTGCCATCGGAAACACAGAAAAGGCCAAGAAGATGTGTGTTGGAGAAAGAGAGAACACATACACAGTATACATGAATAAGAACAAGACACTGAGATACTAAAGGATGTGTTCACAAATAAGAAGCTTCTTGCAGTGAGACTGCCTCAAATAATCCTTGCTATTGTTTCCAGCTCCTGAGGTTTTCTGGGCCAATTTGAAGGCTCAGTTTCCAGGTCCAAACCCAGCAATAAAGATTGAAGCTTTGCCACCAGGCGAAATTAGGGAATAGCACTACTAGCCACAGTCTGACGGTTTACGTCATGACAGTCAGTCTAGAAATGAACGAAGACTTCAGCCACAGGAGATCATACTCTGTCCAGAGCTTGTGCTCCCACTGTCTTCAGATCATTAGACATGCCAACTATCATTTATCTCAGACTTAATCTAAATTGATTAACTTCCAGTGGTCTATTTTTTTTATGTATAATTCATTGCAAGGCAAGAAAGAGCAATGTAAGTAAATATGTAGGCTAATATTCTGTACCTCCAGCCAATACTTTCATTTCCCCTACTAAATGAGGCAAATGCAATACGTACATTTGAATGTGATCAAATATAATCTGTACATGCCATTTTAATAAATACATGACTAAAGGAAATGTCTAAGTTCTAGACACAAAAAGTATGTTTCATCCTAGACTGAAATGTATGTGTGAGGAATTAGTACTCAGAATTTTATACCACTCTGTGGATTTCAAGTGTCTATTCTACTTTGGAAACTCCTGATAGATTTTTAGGAATGGCACTGTAAGTTCAGAGCAATGTATACCTGTACTGTGCTCCATTTTGTACAACTCCTCTATATTTTTGATCAGGCCAAACACTGATCATATACTCCCAAATTGATCATGTAGGCTGGTTCTTTGTTTCAATGCACAATCATTACAGTTTTATGCAAACAGCCATGTACCAGAGTTGCTATTGTGCTTAAGCTTTTGAAGAGTCTCAGTATACAAAGGATTTACCTTTATAGTAAGCAGACTGATTAATAGGAATGCAGTTGTCTTGCTGAAGTTTAACTTAATTCTCATAACTAAAAACTGCACAGCAGTTATCAGTAATTTTATGTTTACCTTTTGTAATAAGAGGAGCCTGTAGTTCAGTTTTGTTGTTTCAACAATTAAAAATATAGTGTTCATTAGCAAAAAAAAGTAAGGCAAAAGGATCTTCGGACAAGCATGTTACATGTGCTCTTGTACTCTGATTAAAACTAGATATCAATTTTTTAAGAATGCAACTGAGGGTGAGGAAGAATAAAATTTGGGACTATAAGAATTGTAACAAATGTCTCTTTCAAAACGGATTGCAGTGACTCTCACAGGAATGCCGCCTTCCACCTCTTCTGCAGTTTATAAAGAATTTCTTCAGCACCTGCTGAGCCACCACTATATTCAGATAAAAGTTTAGAGGGCTTGTGTTGAAGGAACTCCCTGTCAAAAATCCTGATGAGACCAGGGATGCAGAATTGATTCAGTTAACAAAAGTAAATCAAAAACATTTGTACAGGAGCCACACAGAACTGTTCAAGTCAAAGCATACAGAACCCTCTTAAATACTGAGATCTGAGGATAGACTAAAGTATCAAGAACTTGATGTTTGTCTGGAGGGGCACATAGAGGTGAACTGGTTTTGTTTCCAGACTGAGTTATAATTTACATATAGATGTACAGTATGCTAACTGATGTTTCATCCCTACAGGTGAGTGTGTCACTGCCAATGCCTCCACTGAAAAGTATCACTCTTGAGATGTGTCACTTGATTTTGCAGTTACTGAGTATTCAAGCATGAATTTGTGAATTCATTCCTGTTAAAGAATTTGGAGAGCTTCCAGTGAACTAAGTGCCTGTGGTCCTTGACAAATGTACAGTGAAAAAAAAAATTAAGACAAGCAGACAGAGGATCAGCTCATGTTTATCTACAGTGTCACTAGGAACCACTCTGGTAATACGTTAGTGAGGGGAACTGATGTCACCAGACAGCACTAAAAGTAGTAATCAAAGATTGTGCCCAGGCAAGCTTCTCTGATTGAGAGTGTTCCGTAGTGGAGGTGCGGTGATCAAATGGCCCCCCTTTCTAGTGAATACATGTACCTAATTTTAGATGGTAGAGATTCAGATGAAAAATAAGGGCTTTGTTCATGAGGGAAAATACGTTTATTGACATACTCAGGTCTTAAACTGTTTAGTGCTCAGTAATATAGTGGTTAGAGGAGTGCTGAGAAATGGATACACAACTACTTCTATCACATTAGGTTTATCGACAAAACATGGTAAATGTATACAAATGTATCCAAAAGGTAAAAGTAGATCTGTAGCCAGACTTACTTTAAAATGTATTTTATTTATTTATTTATTTTATTTATATCCCGCCTATCTGGTCGGTTTCATTCCCTTCAGTGTGAAACTGGATACTTTAACAGGCACAAGTAGCTGTCACCAATATATGTCTCTTCTCTCTTGCAATATCTGACATAAAGGCATGTGTCATATAATTTAGTCATGCATTTCTCTTCCTTATGCTGCAAGTAATGTGAAGCAGGGAAGTGTACAGTACAATGCATAAGCATGTGTTAGTTATGTAAGGATTATATGTTGTAAAGAAGAGGGGAAGAAACATTCCCTTCAAACATCTGGTTTGGCCCTTAAATCCACATCTGTTTTTTTTCCTATAGTGACTTGTAAAGTTACTTAGGGTAAGTCTGTAAGGTAGAGTCTGTCAATTTAATTATTTATTTTTAAAAGCATCTTGTCCTTTTCTCAGTTGTTGAAAGGAACTTTTTGCATTGCTCATTACTTTGAGCTATCCAGGTTACTGCTACAGTCATTCCATTCACACAAAGAATTAAGGTAAAGGTTCCCCTTGACATTTAGTCCAGTTGTGTCCAACTCTAGGGCGCAATGCTCACCCCCGTCTCCAAGCCATAGAGCCAGTGTTTGTCTGTAGACAGTTTCTGTGGTCACGTGGCCAGCGCAAGTAGACACGGAACACCGTTACCTTCCCACCATGGGGGTACCTATTTATCTACTTGCATTTACATGCTTTCAAACTGCTAGGTTGGCAGGAGCTGGGACAAGCGACAGGAACTCACTCCTCCGCTTGGATTCGATCTTACGACTGCTGGTCTTCTGAACTTGCAGCACAGGGACTTCTGTGGTTTAACCCGCAGTGCCACCATGTCATTGCCACTTCACCACAAAATATTAAAACCCCACCAAAATTCAGAAATACAGATAATCTCTGGTATCTTCTAGTGGTCAGTTTTGATGTTGAAAATATAAAAAAAAACCAGCAGTGATCATTGTTGCCATGTTACTTCCTGATTTATGGCAACCCAGAATTTGTAGATACTGTATAACCACTCAGAAATGATTTACCAGTCCTTTCTTCCGGGAGCCCTCTGGGACCATGCAGCTTGCCCAAGACTACACGTCACTTAGCAGGATACATGCCCCACACACTCCAGCTGATCTCAACTGACCCTCCTCCTGAGAGTCGCAGTAGGGATTTCACTTTCCCTTTCGTGTATGGTATGCATCAACAGCTGGTCATAGACATGATAAAACACCATGCAAACTAATAGCAAACATTTCCTTTAAAAACTGGTAAAGGATGAAATTATAACCATAAAACTGACCCAGTTAATGCTGAAATCACTAACTAGAATTGCTCCTAGGAACCAGGAGAAGTGAAGATCTTTTAATTACAGATGTGATGTGTTTCTTTTGAAACATAGCTGCCTTAAATTGTGTGATTTTTGCTCATCCTTCACATTTTTATCAAATATTATTCAAAGGAAGTCTTTTACAGAATTTGTTAGTTACTCTTACTAAGTTGCTGTTTCTTTTTTTCTAGAGATTAGAGCTCAGCTTATAGAGCAACAGAAATGTCTGGAGCAGCAGACTGAGATGAGGGTACAGCTTCTTCAAGACCTCCAAGATTTCTTCCGCAAAAAGGCAGAAATAGAGACTGAGTACTCTCGCAATCTAGAAAAACTAGCGGAAAGGTTCATGGCAAAAACACGAAGTACTAAGGACCATCAACAGTACAAGTAAGTCTGAGCTTGTTATACATTCGGTGGCACAATTCACACGTCACAGTCTTAAATCCTGTCTTATCCATCCAGGTGTTTTGGTGTGTCTGTTACCTCCCACTAAGCCATGAGTGCACACACAGGCAACTCCGCCTCCCTCCACACAGCTTTCTTCCACCCCAGCACAGCAATCACGTTCAACCTCTTAGATTCCGGTCACAACGGAACCCTATGTGGGAGGTGGTGGAGTTGTGCACGCATACAGGGGTGAAGTCATGAGAAAATGAGAGAGAGAGGCAGAGCCCCACCGATCAGGGCTGAAAGTTAGAGGGTACATTGCCTCCCATTCTGACCTTAGGTGCAAGTATCCTTAAATATAAATGTTTCTCATGATGTTTAAATGTGAACATTCTGTTTTAGAGCTCCTGCCAAACTGGGGCATGAACTATGCATCATGTTTTTGTTTCTTACTCTGGTTTCAAGGGAGCCATTAAACAAGTGCCTCAATCTAAATAGTCAGGCATCACAAGAAACTCTGGTTCATTTTAGTGTGGTCATGGCATCTGAACTTCTCCTATTTGTTCTGCTTTTAAAGGATTATTTTGGAGTTTGCCTGGCTTTTTGGCTTGGGGAGCTTTAGTGTGGGTTATTCACTTGTACATAATATTAAGATAGATGTATAAATTAATACATTTATTAATCTGTAGTCTGACTTGTAACAAGCAGTTGGCAGAATCCTATTGGTGATTTGCACCTGCTTAAAAGAAATTGAATAAGCCTTGGTAGCAAATTGTCATTCATTAATGAGGTGCAGGTTACATTCCTGGGTATGCACTTAGTTGCGCAATTAGGTCCACATCCAGAAACTCAACCTGCATCTCAGGTTATATAAATAGTGGTAATTTGCAGCCTAGGCTTATGTGATTCTCTTTATACAAGCATAAATCACTGCTAGGATTCTGTCTAGAATAATTTAGAATCCATCAGTTTTTCTAGTAACACAGAGAAAATAACTTAGGATGTTTATAAGATGAGAGATGGAGAGGTGAATGCAAGAGATATTGTCTGATCCTATTGTTCTAATTTAACATTGAAGGAGAGATTGTTAGAGTTCATGTGTCAGGGTTCTCACTACATATTGGACCATGCTGGCTAGACAGAATGATAGAGTACATAAGTTAAGCAGCAACATGTGCATTATTAAAGTACAACTTTTGTGACAGTTCTATAACATGTCAAGGTTGTGTGGCTAGCCTAAAGTGCTGAAAGCAGAAGAAGCATAAGACAGCCATTCATCTGCTTTGGACCACCAAAAAAAAATAGTCTTCTCAGTACAGCAAAAAATGTTCTTCCCAAGAGAGACCATGGATATGTCCTGTCCCTGAGTTATTTCCTTTATTTCCAGTTGCATGGTACAGCTTTGAATGAGAAAGGCTAAGCATGCTGTTTGGACAAGCTGTAATATTCTATTGTTTGTTAACTTCCTCCTTTACTTCCTGGTTATAGGCTAAAAATGATACATGTAGTACATATTACCAACAGGCGAAAACCCTACACATTTATTTTTGTTTTCGTATTGACACAGTATGTTATCTATCTTTCTCTCTCTTTCTTTCTCTGTTAATATCTCTGTTAATTAAAGAGATTTGCCATAACTGCTAAAGGTCATTAGAACCATCACCACCCTTCAGTATTCTTGGAAATTACTAATTTATCATTCTTAAATCACCCTGATTTTGAGCATCAAGCAGGTGCTTAAAATGTGGTAAAAATAATAAATGCAATTTGGAATATTTGATCTTCAAAAGTAATTGCTTAATGGGTTGTTGCAGTGAGATTATTGTGGCCACATTTTTGTTGAAACTGGCAGTGTTCATGAACTATCACAAATTATGCAACTTTCCCTTATTAGGAAAGACCAGAATCTGCTATCTCCAGTAAACTGTTGGTACTTACTTCTGAATCAAGTGAGACGGGAAAGCAAAGATCATGCCACTTTGAGTGATATCTACCTGAACAATGTCATCATGCGCTTTATGCAGATAAGTGAAGATTCCACCAGAATGTTCAAAAAGGTACTATATAGTGATTTTTCAGCTTTCATTATGAAATTGCTGAAAGACATAACGTTTAAATGAATTATCTGCAGGGATCTTGGTAATGCCCTGCTTCAACATATTACTAATTCCCCTCCAACATTTTGTGTTGCAAATGTAGAGATGAAAGTGGTTTTTAGAATGAGATTGTTCTTTTGAATATTAGAAGGATAAAAGCAGCACTCTTCTTTATTAAGAGTTAAATTGTGTTATCTTCCACAAGGGAAAACAAAAAATAAATTTATCCCAATGTAGTAGAGGAACATTCTGTTCCTATTAAGTTACATGAAATAAATTTCATTCATGGTAGAAGATTGAGAATAATAGGTTGAAGCACAAACTTGCTCTATAATTAATTATATGATTATTAAAAGCTTTACTTGCATTGTATTCTCAAAATTGCAATAAGCTGTGATAAGCTTTATAAAGTCTGTATAAATATGAGAAGTTAGTTTTCAGGTCCAAACTGAGCATGCACATTTACTAAACCTGGACTTGTCAGCCTGAGAATAAACTGTCTCCATTATTCAGTATTGTCACTTAGTGGAGAATATAGGGACAGTTCACTGCTGATCTCTGGGGACTCTATTTCCTGACGAAAGTAGACACCACAACCATATTTAGTAGCCAGATATGTGTGTAATAAACATATATATATTTTCTTTTAATTAATCCAGATGTACCAAAAGTGTATATGTGTGTGTTTGTGTGTGTGTGTGTGTGTGTGTGTGTGTACACACACACACACACACACACTCTTTTGGTAAACCTGGATTAATTAAAAGAAAATATACATTTGTATATCTTTATGCATATGCACATCACCTTTGGATATTCCCTTAGGTGCCATTACTGCTGTGCGCAGGTGAATTGGTTTATTTTATTTATGTAATTAGTTAATTATTTAATTTATACCCCGCCCATCTAGACCGAAGTCTACTCTGGGCAGTTTGTAGTTTTTATTTTGTACATATGCTGTAGTAAGTTAAATCTTATGTTGTGTCTCAACTTGGCATCTTATACTGTGTCTCATTTATCATTTTAAAAAAGCACACAGTTCACTAGCTCTATCGCAGCTATAGAAATGACAGAATGAGACAGCAGATACCAGATTCTAGCTGGAAACCTATTGATGTTCACCTAAGATTTGCATAACTTGCCACAGTCTCTGGGGTGCATCTCAGTTGTGTAATCAAGTACGTGACAAGGCACACAACCAAGACACATCCCAGCATTTCATCATCTAGCAACAATTAGCTGTGACAAGTTCTACAAGCATACATGGGCCCCAGTAGGATTGTGGTCTCTCTGCTCTGTTGCATCTACAAAATACTGTAGAAGGGAATGCAGGATTGCATATCTAACATGGCAAATTAAAGCAAAGAAGAAATGTTTGAAAAGTTTTTGTACTTGACTGCTCCTAAGGGGAGTGTTCTTCTTTTTTCCCTTATGATTACATGAGATAGTACTTGCTATTTTTTTTAAATTGAGAAACCTATTGCAAGGTCATAGGAACTTCTGTTCAGCACATCAGAAGCTTCTGTGCCTTCCAGTGTTGAATCATTCTATAGTCTCTTATATTATTCTGTTTTCTCTGTGCACTGAAGTATTTTTAGATGATTGGTATGTCCAGCAGTCATTTAACCATAACCTACTTTTCAAAGATATTTTTGGCTTTGCAGAAGATGGCAGAACAAGCACCGATTGGGCATATCCACTGGGGCTTTCATGACTCTGCCCAGCTGTCAAAAATTAGCCTTAAAAAAAAATCTGTAGTGCTTCCCTATTCAGCTACATACAGATTGCTGCGTAGGGGAAGCAAAATCTGTATAGTTTGTGCCATCTGTCTATACCGTAACTTTTTTGTATTTAGGATTGCAAATAATTTTAACAGCATTTTGAATATCTGTCAGTGAAAAATAATAAAAATTATACTGGCTTATGTTATTAAAATTATACTGGCTTCCGCCCCAGGGTTTTGTTTGTTTTCTTTTAATTTGTTTTATATGTCTTATATGGTTTTAATATTTCCAGCTGTATGTTTTATAATATTTTGTAAGCTGCCCAGAGTAATGGCATGCTCAATAAGTGGGCACAGTATAAATTTAAATTACAAAAATAAAATAAAATAAATCTTATGCCTTCTTAACTTGGGAGAACGTCCCATTGAGCACAATTGAATTTGTTGTTGTTGTTTAGTCGTTAAGTCGTGTCCGATTCTTCATGACCCCATGAACCAGAGCACGCCAGGCCCTCCTGTCCTCCACTGCCTTCCGGAGCTTGGTCAAATTCATGTTGGTAGCTTCGATGACACTGTCCAACCATCTCATCCTCTGTCGTCCCCTTCTCCTCTTGCCTTCACACTTTCCCAAAATCAGGGTCTTTTCCAGGGAGTCTTCTCTTCTCATGAGATGGCCAAAGTATTGAATTTAGAATGGAATTTACTTCTAGTAAATATGCTGGACATTAAAAAAAATTTACATTGGATAGCTTTTGGCACATGTTTCATGTTGCTTATTTTCCTGCTAGAGAATCAAATAGTGTTCTTTGTTAAAGGACATAAAACAGCTATATACCGTAATTTCCTCACATTTAATTTAATTAGAATAAGTTCTCTTTTCAATTAAGATGTTTACCACAGTTGCACTATTAATTCTTTGTTGGTGATAAACATTCTTTCCATCTTTTTTCTTTTTTCAAAAGCAGGATTGAAATCTGTCCCTGTTTTCTGATTAGGGTACAGGGAAGAGACACACATTCCTTCTGTTTGCTGTCTAGATAGAAATGCTATTAGGGGCTTGTTGGGTTTAGGATCCCGTTAGCTGGAAATACTGACATTTGCTTTTTAATACAAATGTCAAGTAGATATTTATAAAAATTTCCAGACCAAATGTGAAGTTTCTGTATAAAAACATATATAGCATATCATCTTTTAAATATACAACTCAATGTAAAGTAACTGACCCTAGGACAATGATTTGATTGGTGACGATATACTGTACCTACATTTGAATATACAGTATCTGTTTGAGAGAGAGAGAGAGAGAGAGAGAGAGAGAGGGTGCTCAAAGCTTTGAAACAGTCTATAAAACTATAGGGCAAGGGTAAAAAAGCAGACTGGGGGTTCCAGATGTTGTGGGACTGCGAATTCCATGCTGTTACAGGACTGCTGGAAATTAGAGCCTAGCAGCATTTCAAGAGCCAGAGGTTTCTTACCCCTGCTGTAGTATCAGTGGAATGTAGTGTATTGGATATACTTTTTGCTTTTACTAAGTTCAGAGATGGTAAAATACTGTTCAGAGCACTTGCAGAGAACTTCAGAAGCCCTTGCAAAAACACCTCTAAGAATAGGTCTGCTCTTGGGAATGTAATGTCCTAGTTATCAATTGTTTAATGTTTTAACTTTGTACAACTGTGGCGGTTCCTTTCATCATCATGAGCAGGCGCTAAGGCTTCTAATATTAGGCACCTGTTTTTTATGCTTAGTATCTTTAGACTTCAGTGGGACTCCTTTAGTGTTTAGATTCACTTGGCAGCAGCTAATGAAGTGGGACACAGTGTAGTTACCGATATTTGTCTTCACTTCCAGCATTCTTACACAGTGTTTGAGGGCAAGCAAGTGCAGGGGGTGAAGCAGAAGGCACAGGCAGTAGGTATATACAATCATATGAAAAAGAAAGCACACTGTCTTTGAATTCTATGGTTTTACATATCAGGATAATATAAAAAAAATCTGGTCCTCAGCAGGTCTGAAAATTAGGTAAATACTACCTCAGATGAGCAACACATGATATATTACATCATATAATGATTTATTTTATAAAAACAAAGCCAAAACAGAGAATCTATATGTGAACAATAAAGTACATCTTATGATTTAGTAACTTGTAGCAGCAATAACTTGAAGTAATCATTTTCTTTATGACACTATCAGTCTTTTACATTGTTGTGGAGGAATTTTGGCCCACTCTTCTTTACAACATTGCTTCAGTTCATTGAGGTATGTGGGCATTTGTTTATGTACAGCTCTCTTAAGGTCCCACCACAGCATTTTAATTGGGTTGAGGAGTGGACTTTGATTGGGCCATTGCAACACCTTGATTCTTTTCTTTTTCAGCCATTCCGTTGTAGGTTTGCTGGCATGCTTGGGATTATCGTTCTATTGCATGACCCAGTTTTGGCCAAGCTTTAGCTGTTGGATAGATGGTGTTACATTTGACTCTAGAATACTTTGATGTACAGAGGAGTTCATGGTTGACTCAATGACTGCAACATGCCCAGGTCCTGTGGCTGCAAAACAAGCCAAAATCATCACACCTTCACCACCATGCTTGACAGTTGGTCTAAGGTGTTTGTGTTGATATGTCGTGACACTGTGCATTATGGCCAAACACCTCTACGTTGGTCTTGCCAGTCCAAAGAACATTATTCCAGAAGTCCTGTGGTTTGTCCAGATGCATCTTACCAAACCTAAGCTGTTCTGCCATATTCTTTTTAGAGGGAAGAGTAAGCTGTGCTGCCATATTCTTTTTAGAGATAAGATGCTTTGTCCTAGCAACCCTTCCAAACAAACCATACTTTTTCAGTGTTTTTCTAATTGTACTGTCATGAACTTTAACATTTAACATGCTAACTGAGGCCTGTAGAGTCTGAGATGTAAATCTTGGGTGTTTTGCAATTTCTCTGATCATGGTCTAATCTTGGGGTGAATTTGCTTGGACATCCTCTCCTGGGAATATTGGCAACTGTCTTGAAAGTTTTCCACTCGTGAATAATCTTCCTCACTGTAGAATGATGGCCTTTACATTGTTTGGAAATGACCTTATAACCCTTGAATCCATAACCAATTTATTCTCCCTGAACCTTTAATTAGTATTACTTCACAGCCTCCATAACCAATTTATTCTCCCTGAACCTTTATTTAATTAGTATTACTTTACAGCCTATGTTACATTGCAATATATTTTATTTGTATTTATTTATTTATTTTATTGGATTTATACCCCGCACCATCTGGCAACCAGGCCACTCTGGGTGGCTAACAACAAGACAAATAACACAATATCAAAACACGATAAAAATAAGATAATACAAACATTCAACAGATATCCCTCCCCTGCGTCTGGCATTCTTCCTTTTAAGCCTGGAGATTATACATCCTCATCGTGGCTTGCAGCCTGCAATAGACTTTTCCTCCAGGAATCTGTCCAATCCCCTTTTAAAGGCATCTAGACCTGATGCCATCACCACATCCTGTGGCAAGGAGTTCCACAGACTAACAACACGCTGGGTCAAGAAATATTTTATTTTGTCTGTTCTCACTCTCCCAACACTCAATTCGAGTGGATGTCCCCTGGTTCTGATATTGCGTGAGAGGGTAAAGAGTATCCATTTTATACGTCTCAATCGTCCCCTCTCTTGCGCCTTTCCTCCAGACTAAAGAGCCCCAAACCATTTTATACGTCTCAATTGTCCCCTCTCTTGCGCCTTTCCTCCAGACTAAAGAGCCCCAAATGCTGTAGCCTTTCCTCATAAGGGAGGTGCCCCAGCCCAGTATTCATTTTAGTCGCTCTCTTCTGCACCTTTTCCATTTCCACTATGTCATTTTTTAGGTGCCGTGATCAGAACGGTACACAATACTCCACGTGTGGCCCTACCAGACCTGGTTTTCTGCTTAGGAAAGGATGAAGGTGATCTGGGCATGAAGTGGCTCTCTGTAGTTTTATATTTTATTTGTATTTATTTATTTATTTCATTGGATTTATACCCTGCACCATCTGGCAACCAGGCCACTCTGGGTGGCTAACAACAAGACGAATAACACAATATCAAAACACGATAAAAATAAGATAATACAAACATTCAACAGATAGCCCTCCCCTGCATCTGGCATTCTGAGATACCTTCCTTTTAAGCCTGGAGATTATACATCCTCATTGTGGCTTGCAACCTGCAATAGACTTTTCCTCCAGGAATCTGTCCAATCCCCTTTTAAAGGCATCTAGACCTGATGCCATCACCACATCCTGTGGCAAGGAGTTCCACAGACTAACAACACGCTGGGTCAAGAAATATTTTATTTTGTCTGTTCTCACTCTCCTAACACTCAATTTGAGTTGCTGTCCCCTGGTTCTGGTATTGTGTGAGAGGGAAGAGTATCCATTTTATACGTCTCAATCATCCCCTCTCTGCGCCTTTCCTCCAGACTAAAGAGCCCCAAATGCTGTAGCCTTTCCTCATAGGGGAGGTGTAAAATAACTCATGACATGATGTAATATGCCAGCTCCTCTGTAGCTGCATTTACCTAATTTTCAGACCTGCTAAGGACCAGTTGATTTTTATTATGTCCCAATACATAAAACCGTAGAATTCAAAGACAGCATGCTCTCTTTCACATGACTGTAGCTTCGACACGACTAAACAACTAAACGAACAAAAACGAATAGCTTCTAACAAGGCATCCCCCTAAAAGGGGTTTCAAAATGATTCTGATGACATTGTTTTCTGTTATTGCCCTTTGCAATAATGTGTCAGATGATTTTTCTGCAAATCTATAGTTATTTCTAAAAGATATTTAATTGCTGAACCATGTTAATGCATGTAAATTGATGACAGGACTCACATGTATAGCTTGGATGGAAGACGTATAGGAAGTAGGCATATTATTAGATATCATTAAGCAAGAAGCAGCTATTTATGGATTATAAGGGTGGGATGAGTAATAGTACTGGTCTCATGGCATAAGAGACAAGACTGTTTTAAGTGAAGAAAGGACTTCAAGGGAGGTAGATTGCAGTCAGCTTTAATACCATTATAGTTACTGCATTCACATTTTATGATTAATGTAGGTCACAATCTTGTTAAGAAATAGAAACATCTGAAGTTTTTAAATGTTTAAGTATAGCAAAGTATGACACAACCTATGGAGCAACCTATCAATGATTTACTAAGTTAAACCAATTGTTGTTTGGGGTAGGAGCCAATTACTGTTTTGGGAGGAAATTTGTATCATTATTATATTATATTAATTTTTTGGTAGTTAAGAAGAATATAACTGATGTAATTGTACAAGCATATATATAATTTTATATGAGAGGACTGTTTAATTCTAAAGAAGGTTTAACAAACTAATTTTCTGTTAAGCTTTTAAATGTGTTGCTCAGTGAAACAGTATTACTAAATTACAAAGTCTAATTTTTCAGCACAAATGTTATTATAGTGGTTTGTACTATCATGAGCTTTACCACTAAAAAGTTGGTGACGGGGATAGGAAAGTGTTTACATCTTGTGAGGAAAGTTCTGGTCTATACTCTTTTGCTTCCAAACTTCTAGTGTTTCTTTTTATACAAGATATCCTTCCCATTCCCTGTCTATAGCTCTACCTTCCCGAACCATTAGGAAGGGAAGGGAAAGGAGAAAAGAATGAAATGTAGAACAGGGGGATTGGCTATTCAGGATTGTTAAGTTGTATTTATACTAGTTTTACTAAGTAGGAATCTCTCCAAAAAGAATGAATTGGAATAAATTAGACAGTATCTGGAGTATAAAATACAAATTTAATAGCGAGCAAAGGAGTTTTGTATACACTATGGCATTGCTGATTTCAACCTTAGAAGTAGATTACTGAGAAGATTTAATCTGATTATCTAGCTAAATCGGCTTTGAAGAACTTCATAGTAAAAACAGATCTGTTCCTCTGCCAAAGCAGTGGGAAGTCTTGGATAAGATAGTGGTGGACATCCTGTTGTGCAGTTATGCAAATCGCATAACTTTTAGAGATAAATTGCTCTAAGTTAAGAAATCTCTGTAGGAATTATCTGTTGCACGAAGAGTCACCTAAGTCGGTATGCAACAGAAAATGTCTACAGAGATTTCTTAATTTACAGCAATTATCTTCAAAAAGTTATACCTTCTGTGCAACAGCATGTCAAGATTTCAGCCATTGGGTTGTAAAGCATAAAGGAAGGAATACCTCTCTGTATACTAACTCCCCTTGACTTAAGATCGCCTAAGGAAGTCTTTCTTGTGCACCATCTGCCCGTTAACAAGGGAGAGAGCAGAGCCATCTTGTTTTTGGTGCTACAAATATGGAATATTTCCCTTTGAAGATACAGCTGATGCCAACACTGTAATTGTTTTAGTCATAATTCAGAATCTGTTCATTTATCTAGTTATTTATTTGATTGATTGATTTTGAGTGTTTTATTGTATTTGCTGCTTTTTTGTTATTTTGCTTTATTGTAATATTTCAGTTTTTAAAGTTGTTTTCATTATTGTTGAATGCCACCTTGTATCTGTAGGAATGAATGTTGGTTTAAACCTGTTTCAATGAATGAATGAATGAATAAATTATCACAAATTAAAAAAATAATGAGGAAAGACAAGTGTTCATTTACCTCATGAGGTTGGCCTGATCACATTGTTCTGACGCCGAGGGAGGCCCGGAAGGAAAGGACTATAAACCGGGCCTTCTCGGCGGTAGCTCCTCGCCTCTGGAATAACCTTCCTCTGAAGATTCATGCGGCCCCTTCGCTGGGTACCTTTAAAAACCAACTGAAAACTTGGATGTTCGTGCAGGCCTTCCCTCCAGCTAATGCCTGACTTCTTTTTCTTTTTTCTCTTTCTCTTTCTTGTTATATTTTTCCTTTTTTCTTTCTTTTCATCTTGAATACCTTGTTCATTGATTGTAAAAATTTTGTTATATTTTATAATTGGTTTCTATGTTGGCAGCCGCGTAGAGTGGTTGTTTGACCAGATAGGTGGGGTATAAATACAATCAATCAATCAACCAACCAACCAACCAACCAACCAACCAACCAACCAATCAATCAAAATTAGTTTATGCACTTTGTTTTCTTTTGACTGTTTCTGGAATGATACGTGCATGACGACTTTACAGAAAAGCATAAGTTTTCAATAGACTGCAACAAAGTGTTATCCTCAAGCATTTTCCAGGGAAAAAAATGTTGATTTTCTAGGGCTGAAGGGAATCTCTGTTTCTTTCATGGCTGTTTTTTTTAACTCGTTATTCTGATATTTCGGTCCCACTTTCTCATATGGTCCCATCTAGTTGGAGATTATAGACTCTGCAGTGATATCACAGTACCATAAAACAAATTAGATTTGGTTTACATGGTGATGTCCCTGAGGGTAGACAAGGCCTCAGTGCCCTAATTGAATGAATATCAGGAACAGGCAGCTCAGCTCCATTGTTGAAGCAAGTTTTCATCATTTCCTGTTTTGCTATGATAGATTTAATTGCTGTAGAGAATCAAAATGAGGAATATTGTTTCAATTGCCTTGTCAACAGCTGTGTCTTCCTTTCCGTAACACAAGGTCAATGAACATTTTCACACCTTTCTGTAAGGGGTATAAAGTATTAAATGAAAAATGTTAAATGAAAAGTACCATCCCTGCTCCTCCACTTTAAGTCTCAGTTCTACTTTTAAGTGACATTTCCTAATAATATCTTTTTAATTACAGAGCAAAGAGATTGCATTCCAACTTCATGAGGATTTAATGAGAGTGCTTAATGAGCTTTATACGGTAAGCATATTGATTTGGCTTTAGATGAAATAATGGCTTATTGAAATTCTATTTGTACAAATTTTAAGTGTTTTTACTTAAATACATGTTATAGAATAATACTGTTTTTAGTGATATCAAGATAAATAAGACTGTTGGTTTAATCTCAAAAGACTCATTCTTCTAGAAGTTTCTGGTCTTCTTCAAAACTGACTATTATTTTAAAACCCACCAATCACACAAACAGAATTTAGATGAATCCTGGCTTGTTCCATTATTAATACGCTCTATTGGTAACTTTTAATTTGTCCCTTCATGTACTTGTATCAGTAATCAAATTTATTTTTCTGTGCATCCTGACTAAAGTAGCTATCTACTGAAACACTGTAGTCAGTAGGAACTTTTCATTGACTTGAGTGGAAACAGAAGAAAATGTTGAATATTTTGCATATTATAATTTTCTGCAGTTTTCTTTGACTTTGTCTTCCTTATGTGTTAGCAAACTCCTAAACTTCCTTTTTCAGAATTTTTACTCATTAGAAAGGCCTTTCTAACATGTTTTACCTTAGTCAGAGGTAAGATAAAGCCTTTGACCTTGGTGTGTTTTATTCATTTACTTCCAGTCTTAAATGTACATAAAAAGGAAAGCGTTTTGTGACAATTTTTATCTAGTACTGTACTTCAGTTCAAAGTTGAAAGACTCAAATTCAGTGAATATCCCCACATACAAACCATTATTTAAACCATCAAATGTGCAGTTTCTCTTGTGGCCTTCTAGATGCATGCTGCCCTAAACCATATCTTGTCCAGACTCCTCTTCATAGGTTTCCTCCTCTCTTAAATAGCATGAAAGATAACTTTTAGACAATTTTTAAGTTTAGGGTTTTTTTCCCAAGGAAAGAATGCTTTTTGTTACAGTACACTTTAGTTTATCCTTCAGTACAATTCATACAGATAAAATACTATGAAATCTTAGCCGTATCATCATCATCATCATCATCATCATCATCATCATTATCATTATCATTATTATTATCTATCTGCTCTTTAGATTGTTAAAATAAGGATGCTGATTAAAAAAGCAAAACATAATAATGAATGATTTAATATAATATCTATTTGGGAATTCATTTATAGTTTGCAAAATGCATGTATATTAAATATAGGATGAAATTAAAGGGTTTTGCAGTCACATTGGGGTAAAATAGTGAACTAAAATGCTGAACGTCCAAACAAAAACTGCTAGGTCTTATTTGGCTCAGATCTTCAGTATTTCCAGGCCTGAACATGTTTGCACTGCAAACAGCGCTGGACATGGTGTTGTTGATGTAATAAAAACACTGAAATAATGTGTTAGTAGAGGTGTGATTAAAATTAATTGGGCTTTCATCTTGAACATCCTCTCTCTCTCTCTCTCTCTCTCTCTCTGTGTGTGTGTGTGTGTGTGTGTGAGAGAGAGAGAGAGAGAGAGAGAGAGAGAGAGAGAATGAGAGAGAGTCTATAGATATATATGGATCTATAGGTATGGCTGGATGTTCTTTTCTATTATTATGTTTTTGACTCGATGTATGATTTTGGAAATACAAAATTTGTACATTATTACTATATGACTTTTTTTTAAAAAAAACTCCTGTTTGAGGAAAATTTACAAATAATTTCTATAGATTTAGTAGCTCTACATAGACCAATGGTAATAAGCTTTATTAAGTATATGAGTGGCTGCATCCTGTAATAACTGGTGTCAAAGAGAGCCTTGCCTCAAGTATCTTACAAGTAGGCTATAGATGGTTTGTAATGTAGGTGCTGTTGCCACCGCCCCCTCCCCCCCCCACTATTTCCATGAATCACCTCTACAGTAATCCAGATTTAACCAGGGAATATGTAACATTATCTCTTCCCAAAGTGGTGATATATTTTCTTTAATTTCTTCCTTTAAAAAATGCAGTCATGGGTCACAGTAAGATAACTAGAGATGGTTGTTTTTTTTTCCCTTCATACAAAAGCCAGAGAAAAATTTCCGCTCCTCATCCCCATTTGACATAGCCATGTAGTTGCTATCCACCCTTGTTGCCTGAAGTAGAAGAACAACAGTTTGTTGCCTCTTATGTCCCCATATCTGGAGGCCTCTTTTTCAAAATCTAGAATTTACCAATATGACAGCTCAGGTCATCTTGTGAAAATGATTTAGATGGGGTCCTAAATGTCAGTAATTAATAACTAGTCCCTTTCCTAATCTGCCGTCTTCCAGAGGTGTTGACTACAACTCCTATCATCCCTAATCAGCATGACAATTATCTATGCTCAGTGGAGATGGTAGTTCAATTCCAAAACTTCTGGAGAGCCCCAGGTTGTGAATGGCTGAATTAATGTACAGTTTCTATGTGACCACATAACCCATGAAGCGCGTATATAAATAAGGGCAAACCTCCCAGAAAACAGTTGCCTTCATAGAAACAATCCTTTGTTTCAGGAAAATAAAAAGACGGGTGACTGTTGCAACGTTTGTTTGTTTTTGGGTTTTTTCTCTCTTTCTTGTAGGGCTTTTTTTTAATGAAATGAATTTTTAAAAAACAAATAACACAAGTCTTGACATCAAAGGTCCTCATTAGCATTCAGGTAAGTCATTGAACTGTGGAGTCACTGTGTGAAGAAAAGAATTAAAATATTTAATCTATTGCAGTAGAATAAGGAAAAGCTTTTTAAAACTATGTATGCTGCTAAAATTGACATTATTTTGTGCTAAACTGCAATATTGAATGACATTATGATATAAAAAGTAGGTAGAAGACTACTAATTAAACAATATACTATTTGTGAATTACTAATTTGAAGAGAAGTAAGGTCAGTATTCAGATAAAAATACCTTCAAGAATTTTGATTAAATTATTTCATATGGACCAGTCTAACAAAATTGGATCCTTTCAGATACAGTATATACTGCATAACTGCCAGTGAAATTCAGCATAAAAACAAGGAGGAAAGCTCTGGTTTCAGTTTAATGCCTGTATAGATAAGTTTTAATACTCTTATTCAGATATACTTTTATTATTTAGTTCAACAAATTTGAATGTGATTCAATTTTTCATTGAAAACAGTGACACTAATTACATTACAGGTATGTCCCATTGGCTAGGGCACTGGTTCTTAACCTTGGGTTACTCAAGAGTTTTGGACTGCAACTCCCAGAAGCCTTCACCACCAGCTGTGCTGAGTGGGGTTTCTGGGAGTTGCAGTTCAAAAGCATCCGAGTAACAAAGGTTAAGAACCACTGGGCTAGGGCTTCATGGGCTATTTAGTTAACAACTCTCTGTTTTTTAAGCTATACTATGAACCATCTTTAAGCTATGTGTGTTTCTTTTTGCACTTTTTTTTCATTAGTGTTTAGTTTTATCTTGAGAAGTCTATGTGACTCCTTCAGTTTAACATACGTATAAGCTTCTCCATTCCAGTACGAAGTTTTACTTATTGAAAATACTGATTTCTGATAGGCTGGAAGCAAAGAAAAAGAGCTGATAATCTCTTCTCATTGTGATGGCTGGGACAGAAGTGTGGTTGACATTAAGCTCAGGGACATTTTGGTGAGCCATTTATGAGCCCAGGTCCTTCCTGCTGGTAGGCACTACTCTATACAAATGGATGCCAAGCCCACAGAAAGCTTGACTTTAAATAATATATGGGAGTGCATATGCTTTTAATATCCTATAGCAATAATCTTTCAGAATTAGAAAAGATTTGAAAATTCAGGTGTGCCCTTAGCTCTGTTCCAAGGTTAATCAGTTTGTTGATGGGATGAGGAAAATAAAGATAAACAGTACTAAATTTGAAACAGTAACATGTCATTTGTACAAAGTCCAAATCACTAGACAAGTTTCAACAGACAGCACAGTGGCCACAGCTTTTGTGAATTGTATTACCTATTACATTTCATTGCCACATCTATATTTATGGACCTCAATAGATGGGAAACCTTGATGTCTGAGCGTTCAGCCTGGAGGCAGGCGGTGCATCATGGCCTCTCCCAATTTGAAGAGAAACTTGTACAGCAGGCCAAAGCAAAGAGGCAGTCCCGAAACCAGCAAAACCAGGGAGCTGGACAGGGGACGGATTGTATTTGTCTTCAGTGTGGAAGGGATTGCCACTCTCAAATTGGCCTTCTCAGCCACACTAGACACTGTTCCAAGTCCTCCATACAGTAATTGCATAAAAAGCCATTACTGTACCATAGTCTCTCAAGACTGATGAATGCCTACTACTATATTTATACCCTGCCTTTCCTCCAGTGAGCTTACAGTGTGATGGTGTCCATTGTCCCCCTCCTCCATCCTTTATACTTACAAAAGTATCCTGACCCTGAGGGAATTATGACTAGCTCAGTTTCAAGCCATGAGTGGCACAGCCAAGTGGGGATTTGAATCTATACTGATTTCTTACCTTACAGCAATTCACTTCCAAAAATTAAAACTCTGGCGTTGTGTTGTTGTTTAGTTGTTAAGTCATATCCAACTCTTCATGACCCCATGGACCAGAGCACACCAGACATTATAGTTGAGGGCATAACTAGTATGATTCTGGCTATAATTATAACATTGTCTAGATGTAAGTAATATTTGCTTGACCATGCCAGGAGTGACCTTTCCAGGAAATGACACAATTAATACATAAGGCTGAACAGAAGTGCTCATGGCCACAGCATCATATTTTTGGAATATTTTTTAAATGTAGTAGATGTAAACAATTAAATGTTTTTTTAGACAATGGAAGTCTAAAATGTTAGAACCCATTGAGAGAAAAGCAAGAAGAGAGAATAATTTGGTAGTGTTTTAAAGGGCCTTGGGCTGTTTTTGCATTCCTGGAATGTGAACTCAAATCAGTAGTATCACTTCTTTTAATAACTTGCTTACATTTTCTAAAATCAACATAGATCATGCATAAGCCCACACATATCTAAAAGAGAACAGGCAATATTGGTATGATTTTCTGTTGTCCAATAAATAGTTTTGCATTGTTTGACAAAGTTTTGCAAATGAGCACTGGCTATCTCCTTTTTTTAAAAAAATGTTTGTTTGTTTATTTATTTTGGTAAATGGCTTTAATTTGGATGAATGCAGAATGAAGGTGACGGAAAGCATTTTCAGGAACTGACTGATACTTTGACTCTTAAGTAACAGTAGCAGGAGCTCATTTTCAGCTACTTTATTATCAAATAATGGATGTCTTACCACTGACTTTAGAATATATTAGTCCATCACCTGAAATCAGTAGATAATTGGACATTACATGTAAATGAAAAAGAAATGGGTCCAAGGAGAAGAGGGGGCTGGAGTGTAATGCTGTTCCCACCTCCTGTTGAGAAGGTCTCGAAACATAAAAAGCCTTTTTGATTTTCCAGGGAGAAAAACTACCTCTTTTTACTCAAGGGTGCTTTAGGCAACTGAAAAAGTGAGTTTCTCTGAAGCTCACAATGCTATCCTTTGAGATGGACTACAAAGAGTTTTGCAGAATGTTGAGTGCAGAAAAGTGAGATATTATGTGAAACATGCAAGTAGGAATGGAAAATCTCTCTGAAACTCTCATCTTTATTAGAATATTAAAAACCAGGGAAAACTTGTGTAGCATAGTTGATTTGAAGAACCCAATTTTATCAGTGTTGAAGCATATACCAAGGTACGTGTTTGCTTCAAGTCTTCTCTTTCTGTCTTTTTGCTCATTAATTTGATATGTGGAAAGAGCATGACCACTATCCTTTGTAATTTGGATTTTTTTTTCCAAGCTTGCAAAACTGGAGTGATCAGTGTGCACCCAACTTGAAGTTCTCTAAACCCAGTACATAGCCAGTATGTTTAATTTCCATGTAAGTTATGGAGCTTTTAGATAAGGTGAGGTTTGAGACAGTGAACACATAGAAACAAATACCTTAAACCTGATCTTCAATGAGTCATCTTAAAGACTGTGGATTTGGGTATGGGGAGGAAGATTTGGAAAACAGTCATCAGAAACATGCCAATTCACATGTCTGGGCTTATGTTACAATCTAATTAAATTTAATCTGAAAGAAGGCTTTGCGGTTTTCATGCAGGATAAGGCTGTCAGTGGTATCACCTCCAGTGTCAGAGTATACCTCTTAATACCATTTCCTGGGGAACATGAGCTAGACATTGGCATGGCACTCATATTCTGCATGTGGGATTCTTGTGTGCATTTAATTATCCATTGTGAGAACAGAATGTAGGATTAGATAGGCTTCTCAGCCGAGTTGGTATGGCTCTTCTTTTGTTTTGTTTCCATGAGGCGAAACATTTTCGGAAAATGATCAATATTTAAACTTTAAAGGCTGAGGCAAAATACTTCTTGAATTAATAAATTAAATATGGCTGGTAGGTAATGTAAGATTGCTTCTTTTACTGTGTTCCTGTCAGTTAGATTTTTAAAAATAATGTCTCCTGCACCTCTCTGACTTCTTTTTCCTTTCAACATTCTTCTCCATTCTTCTCTCTTTAATTAGTATTGTATAACAAAGGTAACCCATACAACTTCTGCATGAAACACCTTTCTTACAAAAATCTTCATTAGGGTCATTCTTGGTATGTAACTATATCTGTAACAGGAGGATATCAGTAGCTCATGGGCCTAATCCAGTCTGTGAAAGGTCTGAATCTGACCCATGAAAACAAACATGATCCACCCCCAGTTAAGAAGCAGGCAAGGGAGTCCCCGTAGTTTTATCCAGTCATAAATCTAAATCAGAAGTAGATGGTTTTTCACTTTCCTAATTGGGAGTGAGTTTGGCACACAGAGTCAGCCCTGAATGCAGCTAGCATTTGCAGGAACCTGCTGAGTCAGTGCTCAGCTAGGGTCTGCAAGTGCCAACTGAGAGCCCTTCACTCCAGGGGCAAAGTGAGGTCTCTGGCCAAAGTGCCAGTGACTCAGTGCTGTGTAAAGAAGTACTTTCTTCTGTCAGTCCTGAACATCCCACTGGCCAGAATTATAGGATGGATCCAGATTCTAGGAGTGTGATGGGGAGAGATTCCCTATCCAGTTCTTACACACCATGCATGATTTTATGTAATGACTCTATAACTCTCCTGCCCCCAGTAAATAACCTCATAAAAGAATTGTTTCAGCCACATTTTGGTTGCTGTTTCCTATCCTTCTTCCAACTTTAGATTATACTTTCAGAGATGTTTTGATCATTTGTTACCACTCCATATTAGAAAGTTTGGTGTTATATTTTGGATCCCTTAGCCAGTGATCTGTAAAACACATTTTACTGTTTTACAGATGGTACATATTCGGGTGGCATTTATCCATTGTGACCCCAAGATCTGTTTCTCAGTGAGACTATATGTGTTCAGACTGTCCCCCAGCTTTTTTCCCCCTGTGCAGCAGCCTTCATTTACATTGAACTCATTTGCCATTTTAATGTGCATCCACTGAATCTAGAGAGGTTCTCTTAGAACAATTTATAGTCACTCTTTGTTTTTACGTCCTGAATAATTTGATTTAATCCTTAAACTTGGCCATCTCCTTGCTCACTCCAACTCCTGGTCAATAATAGGCACATTTAGAAATGCCAGTTCCAGTACAAATCTTTCCCATTTTGAAAGCTGTTTGCTTTTTTTTTTACTGTTTGCTTCCTGTTTTTTAACATGGTACTGATTGGTAAGATCATTGTATTCTTAATGACTGCTAAGCTTGCTTAGGAACCTTTGGTGAGGGACTTCATCAAAAGGATTTTGAAAGTCTAAATACACAGTATCTGTGTAACCTGTTCTGAACCATAAAAATAGAACAAGGAATAAATCCTCTGTTGCCTCTGTTTGATGGGAATCCCCCCCCCTTCCATTTTCTCTGATTCCACTTATTTTCTGTCATAGGTCATGAAGACATATCATATGTACCATACAGAGAGCATCAGTGCAGAAAGCAAACTGAAGGAGGCTGAAAAGCAAGAAGAAAAACAAATTGGCAGGTCAGGAGATCCTGTTTTTCACATTCGGCTTGAGGAAAGACATCAGAGACGGAGTTCGGTGAAGAAAATTGAAAAAATGAAGGAAAAAGTAAGAACACCAACAACCCTTAATTGTTTGACATCAGTGCAGTGTGGTTCCCAAAATTCTTTACGGATGAGATACAGGTTTATACTAATGTCAGCCTGAAAATTCTGGAACTGAAAAGAATAATGTCCCTGTAAACATACCCCTCAAACTTCTTAGTTCTTGTAACGCAGGGGGCAAGGCTCAGTGTTTGATCAACTTCTTCAATGATACAGATTTTGTTTCTCGTTTCCTGTTCCCATGGGATCTAACTCCTTCCACAAGGTAAAAAAATCAAAAAAGTAGAAGTTGTACCCTGCCACCTCCATTGACTCTCCACAACAGTCTTGGAGTCCTCGACCTCCGATTGTTCTCCTTCATGGTCTTTTTTCCTGGCACTAGGAACTAATGATCTTTAGCCCTCCCCCCCAATCAAATTGTCATGTTAGTTTGAGTCAATGAAGTGGAGTGAACCCTCTTCACTGGCCTCTAAAACTGACAGGAATGTGTATGAACAAAATGGAGGCAGTTTATTTGAAGTTATGCTTCTTTTCTAGTTCTGCTAATAGAAAGTAAGCACAGCTATGCACCATTTTACGAGCATCACTATTCATTTTCTTGCTGTATTTTGGGTTTGTACATATGCCTGTTTGGGATTTACACATAGATGTTTTGCAAAAAGGAAATAATCAGGGCAAACTAATAAATCGACAAAATTTTACAGTAAATAACTTTTGCAGATGTCTTTTTTTAATTCTGTATTATGTTTGAACTTCAGATTCTTGGATTGCTGTTTTCTTTTTAGTCATAGGGAATGGCTAAAAATAGCAATATGCAGAAAGTACCAGCAATTTTTACATTCTGTATGTGTAGTAGTTTTGCTCTTATGTTCTGAAACACTCATGCATTTATAATTTGTAGCATTATTAACTGGGATAATTGAAGCACTTTGCCATCTTAACCTTTTCTTCTTTTTAGCGTCAAGCAAAATATTCTGAAAACAAGCTGAAATCCATTAAAGCCAGAAATGAATATCTGCTTACCCTTGAAGCAACAAATGCTTCTGTTTTCAAGTACTACATTCATGACCTTTCAGATTTGATTGATGTAAGTACTGGGTGCTCATGCAGTTCCTAAGCTGCAGAATCATGTTTGGCATTTCCATTGCTTATGTTGTTTTTGTTGCTCCTGTTGTTTACAAAGATTTGTGTAATGCTTTGTTGGTCCCAATTGTAATTATTTTCTAAAATGTACTGTCCATTTTGAAGTTACTTTATATTGGCCATGGTATATCACATCATTAAAACATTTAGGTAAGGGCTATTAGAATATTGTATATACTTGCATGGTCAACTCCAGGGTCTCACTCTAGTATTTATGTTCACTTGTCAGGTGTTTTGGCATTATAATAAAAGACTGAACAGAACTCAGAATCTTTCTGGAGAACCTGTTCCTTTTTGCTGGAAGGGGATTCCTTGCCTAATATTTGTGTGAACTAACATGTTGATTGGTTTTCCAGTTAAATAGTTGTTTAGGGTGCACTCAAGGAATATTACCATTTGCTTGAGAAATGCAACCTTGAAGTGGGTATACATATATCCAGTTACTTCTAAAACATGACTTCAAGCTAGAGATGGGAGTATTCGTATACGAATACAAATATCCCCACACAGGTGGCATTAATGAGGGTCCAGCCCCGTGGGGCCGGACGGTCCACTCACTGATCCAACGTGGACCGCGGGATTCTACCAATCGATCCGCAGTGCACTATCCTCTTGCCACTCTTCGACTTCACAGCGAGGCTCATTCTCCTGCATGCAGCCAGGAGTGGCGAGCAGATCGATTAGTAGCATTGTGTGGTCTGCATCTGTGGTGGATCGGTGAGTGGACCATCCGACCCCATGGGGCTGGACCCTTGTTAACGTCACCTGTGCGGGGATATTCCTATTCGTATACATATACGAATACCCCCATCTATACTTCAAGCAGATACAGTACATCTAAGTTAAAAGTATGTTTATGAGACTAGGGAATTTTAATATGTACACAGTAGCCTAGATTTACCCTGTCAGTTTAGGTTTGGGATTACCAGCTTGTCTTTTTGTCCTTCACAGTTTAATTTACATTTGAAATATACAGTATACAATACAATCAGTAATTTTCTAGTGCCTTCGGGTAATTGTTTAGCGGATACACCAGAATTTGATTAGAAAAGACATAGAACGTGCCTGTTCTTATAAGAATAACTTTATAGAATAATATAAAAAATGGTCCTCACTTCCCAGACACTCATTGCATTAGAATGCCCATTTCTCTTGAAATTATTTTTATGAGAATAGGTGATCATTATACCTTCTGTTAACCCAATTTTCTTAAGATTTCTATTCCATACTCAAGAATTTTGGGATAAAGTTTGCAGTATATAGATCTTCTGCTTTAAACATTTTTAACAATAATTGGGGTTAATTGGAAATAATGTAAAGATTAGTTAATAACTGCAGTGCTCTTGTTATATTACCTCTTTCTTCAAACCAGCTTTTTGATCTGCCAAACAGTGGAATGCTCTGCATTTTAAAATGGCATGATATTAGGAAGACCAATTGACATTTGAAAACCCGCTGAAGGTTAAAGAACCTGTGGACCTTACTATGTATGATTATTCTGGTCAACTCATCAGTTTTTTAGAATGGTATTGAAATCTGCTTTCACTGAAAACAATTTGTTTTCATTATTTCCCTTTAGTGTTGTGATCTTGGGTATCATGCAAGCCTGAACAGAGCGTTGAGAACATATCTCTCTGCGGAATATAACCTTGAAACCTCTCGCCATGAGGGCCTGGACATCATTGAAAATGCTGTTGACAATTTGGAGCCACGAAGCGACAAACAGAGATTCATGGAGATGTACCCTACATCCTTTTGTCCTCCAATGAAATTTGAGTTCCAGCCCCATATGGGTGATGAGGTCAGTAGCTGGTAACTCCTTAAGGAAAGAAAAAAGGAAAAATCCAAACAAGTTTTTGTTTGTGCCTAAATGAGCATTTCCCTCTGTTGCAAACTGTGATTTCCTTTTTGTTCATGCCTGGCTTTTATCCACCCAAACAAAGAGTCTAGTTAGAGTAAAATGAGAGCCAGTATTATTCATACGGGCACAAAAAAATCAGCAAATAGCCTACACCAAGAAAACTATTCAGAGAACATTTTGTTTGAACTTAATTTGCCAGCTGCTCTAAACAAATCCTGTGCCAAATGAACCCTTCATTATTGCCCATTGAAATCTGCCACAATATGGGTAAACTTGCTTGCAGCTTGGCCAGATAACAATGTCCAGCATATAAGCAGGGGAAGAAAAAGTTGGCTTTGTATAGCGTTCTAAGCTATTCATGTTTTTCTGAAGTAGCCGTAGGCACATTCTGAAGTATAGTGAGACACCAGCTGCAGATAGGGGATAATATTTGAAAAATTCAGGAGTGGTGCTGCATGATCATTTTTGCCCCCCATCTACACACTCATGTTGTGCATATGTTTGCCTCACCGTGATCTAAATTGTTTTTCATGTGTTTATATTGTTTTAAGCTGTTTTCAGGGGAAAGGTAAAGCTAGCTTTTAGCAGCTCATTGAGTTCTCCTGCATCTGGGTCTGGGGGGAACTTGCTGTGCACCCATTTGGGACAAATATCATGGACATAGGATTAAACTTTTCATATCTAAGGGGTCAGATGTGTGTGTAGCCACAGGACTATTCACTGTTTTTTAAATTCTTTCTTGTCCTGTTCAGCCAATACAGCGTAATCAATGTCATTTGTTTTGTTTCTTCTCCTAGCAGCTGTCTACTTGATTCGTTGCAGTTGAGCAGAATCATAAATGCCTAGTCTATATGAGCTTCCCTCTTGCTTGTAACAAATTTTCCTGTTTTTACTCATTTGTTAGGTTTCTCAGGTCAGTGCCCAGCAGCCAGTCCAAGGGGAACTTATGCTTAGGTATCAGCAACTTCAGTCCCGACTGTCTACATTGAAAATTGAAAACGAGGAGGTAAGATTTGCCTCTAGCTATGGTGTGAGATAAGTTTTTGCTGTCTCTAGAATGTCAAAACTGATCACCTGCACATTAATATTGAATTATGCTGATGAGGCATTAATGGCTAACCTTCTGGTAATATCTGACAGGGAGAATATCCATATCCCTCACCTCTTCCACATGTGGGTTTTCTTCTGTTTGCACAAATATTCATTCCTTGGTCATAGAGTTTTCATATTTTCATTGCTGAAACTGTAAGGCTTGAAATGATTTTAAAAAAGATGGCACATAGGCCATAAGCAAGATCAGCACCCTAAAACTCAACCCTGGGGACAGACTGATCAGCTTTGACATAGTATCCCTGTTCACTAAGGTACTGATAAAGGACACCCTGACACTCATCCAGCAGATCTTTCCAGAAGACATCAAGGCCCTCTTCCAACACTGCCTAATGACCAGCTGTTTCCAGTGGGATAATGAATTCTATGAACAGACTGAGTGGCCATGGGGAGCCCCCTCAGACCGGTTATAGCAAACTTCTACATGGAGCATTTTGAAAAACAAGCCCTGGCTTCGGCACCCCTCACACCCACAGTCTGATTCCGATATGTGGATGACACCTTTGCAATTTGTAGCCACGGTGAAGAAAAATTGGAAGAATTTCTGAACCATCTCAACAGCATCCACCCAAATATACAGTTCACCATGGAAAAAGAAATAGAGGGCCAACTCCCGTTCTTGGATGTCATGGTCCTACGCAAAACTGACCTCCGACTGGGACACAAAGTCTACAGAAAACCCACCCACACAGACCAGTACCTACACAAAAACTCCAACCACCACTCACAGCAAAAAAGAGGCATAATCAAAACAGTGGTAAACCATGCAAATCGGAACTGTGAAGCTCAGTTTCTCAGCACTGAACTCAACCATCTGAATTGGGCCCTACAGGCAAATGGCTACTCCAAAAATGCAATCACAAGAGCCATCAAACCAAGAAAACAACACCGAACTGAAGAAGGAAAACAGCCACCCACAAATAAAGTATTTCTGCCATACATCAAAGG